CCCCCCCCCCCCCCCTCGCACAGAGGCAGGACTAAGTAAACCTCGATCATCCGAGACAAGTCATTGTCCAACAGTTCTTAAATCCCTCTGGTGATGAGGATTCCACAAACTCCCTTGGAAGCCTGTTCCAGAGCTTAACTACCCTTATAGTTAGAAATGTTTTCCTAATATCTAACCTAAATCTCCCTTGGTGCAGATTAAGCCCATTATTTCTTGTCCTACCTTTAGTGGACATGGAGAACAATTGATCACAGTCATCTTTAAACAGACCTTAACCTATTGGAAGACTGTTATCAGGTGCCTCTTCAATCTTTTTCTCAAGAAAAAACATGCCCCCACCCCCTTTTTTTAATCTTTCCTCACAGATCAGGTTTTCTAAACCTTTGATCATTTTTGTTGCTCTCCTCTGGACTCTGTGCAATTTGTCCACATCTTTCCTAAAGTGTGGTACCCAGAATTGGACACATTGCTCCAGTTGGGGCCTTGCCAGTGCCAAACAGAGTGTGACAGTTACCTCCCATGTCTTACGTACGACACCCAAGAATATTAGCCTTTTTTGCAACTGCATCACGTTGTTGACTAATTCAATTTGTGATCTTCGATAATGACCAGATCCTTTTCAGTAGTGCTACCACCTAGCCAGTTATTCCCCATTTTGTAGTTGTGCATTTGATTTGTCCTTCCTAAGTAAAAGATTTTTTTGAATTTCATCTTGTTGAATTCAGACCAATTCTCCAATTTGTCGTGGTTGTTTTGAATTCTAATCCTGTCCTCCAAAGCACTTGCGACCACTCTCATTTTGGGGTCATCTGCAAATTTTATAAGCATACTCTCCACTCCATTATCCAAGTGATTAACAAAAATATTGAATGGTACCGGACCCAGAACTGACCCCTGTGGAACCCCACTAGATATGCTCTTCCAATTTGACAGCAAACCATTGATAACTACTCCTTTGAAAATGGTCTTTCAAGCAGCTTCGCACCAACCTTATAGTAAATTTATCTAGACTTCATTTCCCTAGTTTATTTTGAAAATGTTATGTGGAACTGTGTCAAAGCCTGATTAAAATCAAGATATATCATGTCTAAAGCTTCCCCCTTCAGGTATACCTGTAATATGATTGTAAAGCTAAATTCTCTTTGGCTGAATGTTATTCTTTAAATTCTCTCTGCGCACCCCACTTAGGTTTTTTTGTTTTGTTTTTTGGGCAGACCAATGCTGAAAACCAGAAGACTAATGAAATGTTTTATTTTATGTGGACAGATCAAACTGCAGGTGCTCATATCTGAGTATATGTACTTGCACCCTGCATTGCATTTTCAAATCACATAAGAATGTTTGCAATGACATACTCATATAATAACAATGACAACATGTAGCATTTATATAGCACTTTTTATTCCTAGTTCTTAAAGTGCTTTACGAAGGTGGATTAAGCAGCATTATCCCCATTTTACAGATGGGGAAACTGAGACGTAGAAATGTTAAGACCACAAGCAAGTCAGTGGCAGAGCCAGGAATAGATCTCCAGATTCCTAGTCCTATACCCTATCCACTGGACTACATTGTCTCCCTTGTGTTGCCCTTTGCAGTGTGCTTTCTTATAATGGACACGCCCCGAGATGAGAGAGGTTAGCATCTTTTCTTGACAATACTATTATAAGGGAAAAAACACTCTTGACCCCTCTCTTTCCTCCATCATCCTGTTTTTTTCAAAAGCAGTAATAATAATGTCCATAAAAGCCCAGAATTGCACCTGTTCTAACCAATGGCAAAATATGTCTACTACGTAGCTTGTAAAGCTAGCAGTGTCTTGTGTAACCCATTGACCTTACTGTTCACGTTTCCTGTAATAAGTGTGTGAGCTGTACTTGGTTATGAGTACAGAAAACCTTTGTGACTTTCTCCCGTAGAGACTGAGTAGCTACTAGGCATTGGTGGCAGATGAAGTTTAGAAGGCATCTTTGGTTTCAGGCCTTGAACTAACAAGAGCTGCTGTTACCATCTGTTGGCTGGCAGGGTAGATTTTAATTGCAGTGTGTGGCATTAGGTACCTAAAGCCCTGATTCAGCAAGGTACTAAAGCAAGTCCCTAGCTTTAAGCATGTGAGACGTCGTATTGAGTTCAGTGAGTCTTAACACCTTGCTGAATTGGGGCCTTAATCCCCTTATTGAGCACTGTAGGCCAAATTCGCATGTTAGTTCCTAGCACAAACTGGAAGTAATTATATTGGTGGTAAATAGTCACTCCAGTGTAAAACTGGATTAAGCAAAGACAAGTTGAGGCTCACTGGATTTATACTGGCATGATTGAGCCCAGAATCTGGCTCTGAGAACTAGGAGCTAGATTTTCAAAAATACCTAAGCATGCAGAGAGGCCCTTGGTGGTGTTTTCCAAAACATCTGTCCTGCCTAGCGGCGTATGAAAATCCCAATAGGTGCCTATCTGCATCTTTTAGGTGCCTAAATCTCCTTTGAAAATCTGTCCCTAAGCGTCCAGTCCTGCCCCCATTCATGACAATGACAAAATAACCACTGGCTTCAGTGATACCGAATCAGGTCTGAAGATAATTAAATCAGATCTTCTGCAGCTTCAGAGACGATATAGTCCATTTAATCTCTCTGCAAGAAGTAAGATACCTAATTGCAGGTAGGAAGATATGAAGGAAGCTCTGTGCTGGTACCTGGGATGATGAGATTGAGGGGGAAAAAAAACGTTATATAGCAGTGGGAGTATGTGCTGTCATCTCCAATATAATTCCTTGTGGGTGTGTGGAGAAGGTAGAAAGCAGCTGGGGAAAGTAAGTAAAACAAGTACCACATTTAATTTTCCTCTTTCCTTCCTAGCTTGTGAATGCTTTGAAAACAGTATCGGCGTTTGAGGTCAAAGTAGTAGATTACAAGTACAAGTACGTATATTGGTAGAAAATCATAATAGTGTCTGGGTTATTGGCTGCGCTTGATTATAATCCAGTAACAAATGGGGGAACTGCGGTCTAGCCCTCACCCGCCCACCTACCGAAAGAGTCCTACCTATGTTTAGCTGCTTTTAGAAAATGAAAGAACCATCCATATAAAGAGTAATCCTGTTACTGAGGAATTAGTGTGAACTAGTTAAACTGTCCCCACCCCCTTTCACAATGTGCGTCAAGGTTTGACAGGCCCCAGACTGAACCCACTGTTAAGAATAATAATGATTTTAGGAGATTTCAAAATTTGTGTGTCCACTTCTGTGTTTGCTGATGATCACTGCTAGCTGCACATCTCAGGGGACCTGTGAGGCCTGAGGCCAAAGGTCAATTACCTCCACTCCCCTTCAATAGGTTATTTTATAACTTCCTTTATCATGTTTGTTTTTGTAATAATTAGATAGTAACCGGTGTCTGACCTGTGTGTAACGGTGCCTAGAGATTGCAGCCCCATTTGCTAGGTATTGTATAGACACGTAATAAGAAACAGTCCCTGCCCCAGAGAGCTGACAGTCTAGATAGACAAAACAGACCTCAGGGGTGAAGTGACTTGCCCAAGATCACTCAGCAGGTCGGTGACCGACCCAAGAGGTGAGCCCATCTCCTGACGCCCAGTCTAATCTCCTGCATGCTAGACCTGTGAGTTGAAGCTCAATATCTGCACCCCCCAGCAGGGAGTCGTGCACTTTAATAACATCCATTTTAAAATACTATTTTTTATTTGTTTGACTTGTCTCCTATATAACTCTTGTTATAAGAAGGTCTAGCCAATAAAATAAGTGTCTGAATGTAACAAATAAATGATCAAAGCATCATTATTGGAACATAATTAAGTGTCATAACCTATCTGAAAAAGCTGTAAGTCTGTAACAGAGTCTTACTAGAATGAAGTTCTGAAATCTCTGATCTTTGTAGTTCCATGCTGAGTTAGTTCTGGGCTGAATAGTTACAGTTTAGAAGATTGTTTAAAATAGATCAGTGCTTGGAGTGTTCCTTTTTTCAGAATTATCCCTAAGTTATTTTTGCATTATCTGATGTAGCTTATTCATGCTAAGATGGATGAGCATGCTGGAGACCCAAACATTATGTTGTCTGCAGGGACCTTGAATTTTCAGAGCAATTGAAAATCACACATAACTCTGATATATTCATTGGAATGCATGGAGCTGGACTTACCCATTTACTCTTTCTGCCAGACTGGGCTGTTGTCTTTGAACTGTAAGTCTGTTTTTCTTTTTAAGCCTATAACTTCAAATGTTCTTTATGTTCACTCCCTTGTTCATATTTTTAGCATTTATAGCAGCAGCTATAGGGCTGCCGGTGTGCTTCCATTATAAAGGCCCTACTTCAGTTGCTCATAACTTTCATTTGTTTGGGCTGAGACATTTTAGACCTAGTCTCTTGCTAAGGGGAGTTATCTTTTTGCAGCAAGAGCAAGGTATGTATGTGTAATCTGTTATATGACAGTCTCACCACCTTAGCCTGTGACTTCAACAGAGCTCATAGCTAAGCAGGGAACAGCCTACTCAGTCATCGGATGGGAAAACTCCAAAGAAAGGAGGGATATTAGTTGAATTCTTCCCTATGAGTCAATGCGGGAGCAGTACTGTGGAGTATGTGGGGCATAGTGGTGACCAGGTGAGTCAGTTAGATGAGATGGGAAATGGAAGTCCTAACCCTTAAAGATTCAGGAGTAAGGATGTTAGTGCCAGCATCCTGACTTAAATTCCAGCTCAGTTATTTGCATTCTGTCCTACCTACATTTCTCTGGTAGTTCCACTTAAATATATTTTTTGCTGCAAAGTATTGTTTTTTGACACCCTCGCTTTTCAAAACAAACGACAAACAAACTGCATTTTATTAAGAACATTTATTTCCACTGTGGGCAATCCTGTTTTAAAATCAGTGGTTATAAGTCACAGTAGAATTTGGCCCATTGCCCATGGTCTTTCGGTTTTATACACTGACAACGAACGTGCACATTGTAAACTTTTTCCATCTTGATAGACTGCAGGGCAGTCGTTGTGGGTAAATATCTGCTATAAAATGACAGTGATGCTGCATGTCCCCAGATACAACTGTGAGGATGAACGCTGCTACCTAGATTTAGCAAGGCTGCGAGGCATCCGTTACATTACCTGGCAAAAAAAGAACAAAGTGTTCCCTCAAGATCAGGTAACGTTTAGTCGTGGGCGGGGGAGGACATCATTATTTCTCATTTTTAATTGTTTAAAGGTAGAATTGTTTTTACTCCTCTCGATTACTGTACATGAAATATAATTTCTGTGCTTTAGCCCAAATTAACTTCCCTGCTCTGATTAAGGAGTCATTTTATATTAATAGCTGGGGGAGAAATTAAATTAATTGGCCATTAATTCAAGTTGTCAATAACACTGCTGTTACACAGTTACTTACTTGCACTGTTGTTTTAGGGGAGATCAGTGGATTTGGAGATTATAAATTAAAATGGTGATCACTCAGTTTTCTACTTGTTTTTCAAATGAAAGAAGTGCCTTATTTGCTTGCATAAACCTGTTTCATTTTTCCAGGGACACCACCCAACACTGGGAGAACATCCAAAGTTTACTAACTACTCATTTGATGTGGAAGAATTTATGTACCTTGTGCTTTTGGCTGCCGATCATGTGTCACAACATTCCAAGTGGCCGTTTAGGGTAAAACATGATGAATTCTAGGCCAAATTTCAGGTTTAAAGATGATTTTAAGCAACATTTCATTAAAATGTGTTAAAATAGATAAAAATCCATGCTGGTATAAAACTTACAAACTTCTAGGAGGAAAAAAATCCCCCTATTAAAAACACTCCCATAGCTTTTTACTGTATTTTCATATTCTCTCTTCAGTTCTAAATTTTATTCTAGGAGTCTTTTGTTGGTGACTTCTATTTATCAAGATTATTTTTTGCACTAGTTGTTTGCATTGCTAATTCTCACTACTTGACGTTTTTGTATAAAGATTTGTCCATCCATTTCATGTTGTATTTGTCTCATGTATGAATTGTCCTCTTGTAGCAAGCTGTGCACAATTGGAGAGAGGAGAGGTGGGTTGTGTGGGGTGTGGAAGGATTAATACAGAACTATTTCTCAAGTTGGTCATGGTATGAATGACATATGTATTGAAGTGTAATAAGGGAAACAGTTCTCCCGTCCCTCCTCTAGTATTTGGTCTTGAAGCTTCTATGCTGCAGTACTGTACGTGCAAATAAAATATCTGGGTTTTTAAGATAAAAACCTAAACCTTCCAAAGTTAGCAATAGTGTGTGTTAATCCTGTGGCTCTCCGCACTCCTCCAAAAATTACAATTATAAAAAGCACCAGCTCTGACAAAGGTCCCTGTTTGGGTTAGGTCAGGTCTTATGTAAGAAATCTTTCTTAATCATATATTGAGGTAGTTCAGATAATTCCAGGTATTTCTAATTTTTTCACAAACGCATCTCTTCTGTGGCAGAAAACTTGATAGTCTAAACAGTATTATATATACTCTCTTTGAGAAGGTTTAAAGGAATTGACTGCTTTTTCTGGCAAAAATGATTGGATGATGTAGGCCTCTCAACTAAATTGAGAACTAACTAAATCATGAAAGGAACATTGTTGTTCTAGGCAATAAAAGCCTGATCCCCAGGGGGACTGACTTCAATAGGATCAGGGCCCGTGAATGGGCGTTTCAAAAGTGCTCTGTTTTGATCTAACTCAGCTCCCATTAAAGTCAGTCGGAGATTTGCCATTGACTTCAGCGAAGGCAGAGTTAGGCCCGTGCTGAGTATGTTCGAAAATTCCACTCTAAGGGTGAAATCCTGACCCTGTTGAATTCAGTGGGAACCCTCTCATTGACTTCAGTAACGCCAGGATGATGTGTAAAAGACTCGTATAAATATCTGAAGATTGAGTTCAAGAAGACGAAGGGCAGAGTTCCATGTTATATATACTGTGGATTTTTGAGAATGAATTCCATGACATTCCTGCATTATAATGGTACAGTGTCTCAGTTGCCTGAGGCAGAAGATATATTTGTATGCAAAAGCAAGAACGTATTACGTTAAGTGTAAACACTTGAGTGGTATAATTTTAGATATTATTGACTTCCATTCTGTAACAATCATAGTCAATTTCACAGAGTGTAGGCATATTTACTGTCCTGCCTATAATGGTAAAGATAAATTACTGTAAGTATAACTTGCCTATAGATCTCTCATGACCTTAAACAGTGTATAGGAGAGCTAGAGATCTAAACCAGAATGCATTAAGATATTTGGTTCAGTTCTTCGAGTAGGATATTGGGGAACTGACAGATAAAGCTGTTTCACTTTAAAGGAACTGTATAAGCAAAATTGCACTTCTTGACATGAAAAAAATGCCTTTTAAAATACAAATATCTGAGAAAGAGTTCTTGCATTTGTGTGTTACCTCATTTTTTTTCAAAAAAGAAAAATGTATAAGAAATATAAGCTAGTAAATGTGTACTGAAAATTTAAAATATTGTAAGACTAAGAAAAACATTAACTATGAAATGTGCACAGATATATTTGATAAAGCCATAATTTTATATAAAAAGCACAATGCATTGCAAAAAGAAAGAATCGCTATTTTGCCTGGGCTTGAGGAGGAGGTATTTCGTGTGTCTAGCTGTCTATATAGTGCCTTTTCTTATTGTGACAAAGGCCAGGTGACTTGCTGAGCTCTGCCATGATTGGCGAATTTCAATATCTGGTTGTGTCTACACCTAAGTGTTGAAGGGTTGATTGATTGTATACTAATGTGGTTCTGGGTGAATTAATAAATTGTTGGTTGTCAAGAATAAGCAAGTGTCCTGATTTGAGAAACATTGTTCAAGTTAAAATTGACCTGAAAAGAACCCAGCTTTAAAATTAGTAAGTTAATGTCCTGGACTCAATTAAAAAAAAAAAGGGGGGGGGGGTAATCCTATTAGATTCCATTTTATATTGACTACAGCACTTACCCAGTTGGCAAATTCATAAAAATTGACCCCCTTTCATACTTACATAATTATGCCTAGTTTATTCCTGGATGGTGCATGTGCTTGGATTGACAGGTCCAACGTCTGACCTTTGATGATTGTCAGAGGACATCCGGGTATACTGCATAAAGCCGTAATCCTGCAAAGACTTAAGCATATGCTTAACTTTATGCATTTCAAGTAGTGCCTGTGATGTCAATGGGAATACTCTCAGGGTACAGCTACGCGGCAGCTGGAAAGTGTCATTCTAGCTTGGGTGACATGCACCCATTAATTCCACTCAAACAAGCACTGAAAAGACATAGCCATAAAACCCAAAGGAGGGCAAGGTCTCAAGGAGGAAGGAGCGATAAAGAGTTTGAAGGCTGTGGAAAGATCAAAGAGAATGAGAACAGTAAAGACGCCAAGCCTTAGCTAGGAAGAGAGGATGTGTGAGGCCTTGATGAGCATGTTGCTCTGTGGATCCAGGAGTGGGAGGAAAGGAGAAGATGATGCAGACATAAATTGCCCATGCAAGGCGCTATTGTGTCAAGAGTGAAAGGGTGCATGGGTGGATTTCTGAGGATAGGAGAAATTAGATAATGTTTGTGCACAGAGGAAATAGAGCCAGAAGAGAAGGACAAGGTAGGTGCAACTAGGGTGACCAGATGCTAATTGGAAAATATCGGGACTGCCACGGTGGGGGGCACCTTTTTAATTGTTACACTCACCTGTCCGGGTCTTTGGTGGCACTTCAGCGGAGGGTCCTTCAGTCGCTGACGGTCTTCGGTGGCATTTCGGCGGCGGGTAATAAACCTTGCCACCAAAGACAGAAGCACCCGCCGCCGAAGACTGTCAGCGATTGAAGGACCCTCCGCCAAAGACCCAGACGGGTGAGTGTAAAAAAAACGCCCGAAACAAAATATTGGGACAAATGGCATCCTGACCGTACTTCAGTCGGGACGCGGGACAAACTCCTAAAAATCAGGACAGTCCCAATTTTATCGGGACATCTGGTCACCGTAGGTGCAACAGAGATCAATCACCAAATGGGGAATGAGGTGAAGGGACTGGAAGTGGACAGTAGGTGGCAGACTTCAAAATTGGTGGTAGAATAAAGAACAGGGGAGAGTGCCCGGACAATGGTCAGAATGGACCTTGTTGCCCTCCCTAAAAAGGTTGCCTACTGTATTTTGGTAGAATGCGTTGACGTTTTTCAGATGTTTTGTAGAAAGTCTTTTTTTTTGGTGATGAAAATATACACACCTGTTAAATTTCAATTTTCCATGTTTTTGGATTAAACAAAACAAAGTAATAGGTATTGATTTTTTCTCTTCTCCCACCCCTTCTTCCTTTTCTCCTCTTTTCAGTGGCAATATGGGAGCAGAGTGTGAGGGTGGAGGGAGGAGAGAGGAAAGGGAGGAAGGAAGGGGAGCACAAATGAGACACCCTCCCCCCCCACAAATGAAACTTATTTTTTTTTAAAATGAAATGTTCATGAAAAAAATTAAAATACATCTTTTTTTCAAAATTTGTGGTATGAAAATTATTTTGAATTTTCTTCCCCCCAGCTCTATCTTTAGGCAGTAGAATTAATAAGAACTGTTTGAGACCAGAATATTATAGACTGGGGTGGGCAAACTTTTTGGCCCGAGGCCACATCGGCATTGCGAAACTGTATAGAGGGCCGGGTAGGGAAGGCTGTGCCTCCCCAAACAGCCTGGCCCCTGCCCCCCACCCAACCCCTCACACTTCCTGCTCCTTGTCCCCTGACCGCCCCCTCCCCAGAACCCCCACCCCTAAGCACCCCCCAGGATCCAACCCCCTATCCAACCCCACTTGTCCCCTGGCTGCCCTGACCCCTATCCACACCCCCACCCCTAACTGCCCCCCCGGGATCACATGCCCTATCCAACCCCCCCTGCTCCCTGTCCCCTGACCACCACCACCCACCGTCCCCTGCTCCCTGTCCCATGACTGTCCCCCGGGACCTCCTGCCCATTATCCAGCCCCGCCCCCTTACCATGCTGCTCAGAGCAGCAGGCGCTCACAGCCCCGCCACCTGGCCGGGCCAGCCACGCCGCCCGCGCTGCCCGGCAGGAGCGGTGGGACAGACCGCTGGCGGCGTAGCGGGGGACGGGGGCTAGCCTCCCTGGTCAGCAGCTCAGGAGTCGGGCAGGACGGGCCCGCGGGCTGTAATTTGCGCACCTCTGTTACAGACAAATGATTTAATGAGTTATGAGGGTAGTGTGAAAAGTCACCTGTTTTTGAAGCTGATATATGTTCTGCCATCATAATATTCCATGATCTTTTGAGTTCAACCTTATATTGCTGTAGAGTACCAGTGATCCAGTTTTAATATTCTGTGATCTAGTTTTCCATTCGTAGATTCTATTCATTTGATTATGTTGTGTTCAAACTGTTTTAATTTTTGAAACCAAGCATAACTCAAAATAATGAATGTTCTAACATTTTTGCTTTAAGCAAGTAGGTGGGTTTTTCAGAGGTCTGCAGTAATCCTGCTGACCTGCACTCATTATAAATCTATTTTACTTTTGTCCTCAAGCAGACTTTTGATTTCCATATAGTTCCGGAGGAGAGTGCTTGCTTCGGAATGCACTACAGCACTAGATGGCACTAGAACGCTTTCAAATGTCTCGTATGATTGTGGCTTTTTAAATGGAATCTCATTATAAATGCAAAGAATTGGCTCAGAGACGAATACAATAAAGCTACTCCTATAGATGATGATTTTGTTTTCCCCTCTTCCTATTTGTAGGGACAAATTGTCTGAAAAAATAATCTGGACAGTCTTCAGATTTAAGTGTGGGGTTTCTCAGATGCTGTAACATCTGAATTTTTTTCATTTCTTGATGCCTTTATGAAAAAACTTAGCTGGGCTTAGAAAACAATTTTCAATGAATTTGCCAGCATTCCTTTATTTTCTTGTGAAAGGGCATTTCGTACTAAACCATCACTTTTTAGCACTTAACACATTTCCTGTTCGGCTTGGAGGCCTAATTTCCATTTACGCCACAGCATTACCTAGGTTGCATGATCCATTATGTATCATCAGCTACATAATTATCTCTACCACTTAGTTCGGTAGGGGTTGTGCTTGATGAATGTGTACTTGGCGTGGTTGGATTTAGAAATGAGGGCCGACTGACACTCACAAATCAGAGTGAAAACACTGCAGGACGGAACTCTCGCCAGCGTGGTGGTTTTATTATGAGGCAGCGGTAACTGAGTGGATTCATATTTGAAGAAAGATACTTGGATGGATTTCTGCTCTTTTTCAGAGAAGCTTGGGTATAAATAGCCTGCAGTAGGAAGGAAAAGAATTAAAGTAAAATGAACATATGCACCTTGACCCTTTAAGGTGCTGAATACCTCCTGGGAGGTGCGGAATGTTCACAACTCCCACTTATTGTTTATAAAAGTCATTGGAAGCTGAGATCTCTCAACACTTGGTAAAATTACGCTCAGAACTTTCTTTAGCTGAACGAAATAAAAATAATGAAAGACAAGGGAGTAATTATTTTAATCAAAGGTAAGATGGGCCAAAACAAAAGGTAGGTGGCTTTCATAATACGGTGTAAGTATTGTTAGGAGGTAGATGTTATGGCCAAAACTTTCACACTTAGGGTGACATCAGGCACCTGCACTGAGATTTCCAAAAACAGCCTATGGGAGTGAGGCATTCAAATTGGAATGAAATTCAAAACCTATTCCCTTGTCAGTAACACAAATGCTACACCTTAGGGATATATGCAGAAAGCATGAAGGGATCACCAATATGCAGAAAGAGCAGTCTGCACTTCTAAGTAAAAGACAGAGTACAGTTTAAAAAAAAAATCCAGCACATTTTGCATAGTATTCATGAAGAAATTTAGAATGATGAGTCAGTCACTTTTCATCCAATGAGGACAGTAGCTTTAATATTGTCCTTTCTTGGCTGCTGGATGCAACACCCTGACTGGAAGGGGATTTATTGCCAGCCCTCCCACTGTCTACTTAGTAGCAACAGGAGGCACTTCATTTGGGGAGCTACCTAGCTGGTCATTGATTTGGGTTATTTAGTTTGGATGCTGAATGCTGCAGGCCAGAGTTCTTTCCTAAGATGTGCTTGCTCCTTGATTATCATAACCTGCCCCCCAAAAGCTCAGAGCTAAGTGCATTGTTTGCTAATTTATAGGGGGCAAGGAGATCAAACATTGGCTTGTCTGCAGCAGGGAAGGGCATTTTCCCAGGGCACAGTGGCAGCAGTATATTTTTGTGTGTAGGGTACGCTCCTCAAGACACTCTGGGAGTTATTGTTTTCGCCTAGTGATTACAGGAGTTAGATCTGAAAGGGGCAGAACTTGGCATGAAACGGGGAGGCTACCTTGAGCAGATTCTCACCAGGTGTATATCATGATATTTCCACTGATATCCATGGAACTGCACCTACCTATCAAGCGAGGGACTAGCCTTGATTATTAATCCCATTTGTATTTGGGTTTGATTAACATTCATTTGCGGCTTTGCTGGAGGCCTGAGGTGGGGGGGGGTCCCTGTTTTGGGGCCTAAAGATAATTGCAGGATGGATTTAATTATCTGTAATGTTGAAACTTACTAATAAAGATGCAGCCTCCTTTTCCTGCACTGTGCTGCTGCCCACGGATTCATTTCATGGGGCTTATCCGTGAACAGAGAACTACCATCTGTTAGGTGATAAAGGAGCAAGGTGTGTGCATGACAATGATTGTCATTGGACATCATTCATTATTCCATCAAGAATGTAGCGTGTCGGTCAATGAAAAGGCATGTTTATTGAGTTGACTGCTCTGAATTGTTTT